GCTATATCTTTGGAGTAGCACTGCTCCCACTGCCATGTCGCTGGTGTCTGCTTGGATAATGAAGAGTTGTTCGGGGTCAGGATGCTTCAGCACTGGTTCCTTTGCAAAAAGTTCTTTTAGTGTTTCAAATGCCTTTTGGCAGGTTAGGTCCCACTGTAGGGGTTGTCCCAGGTGGGGCTTCGTCCCTGGGCCCCATGTTTTTAGGACATCTGTCATGGGTTTGGCAATTTTCATAAGGAGGGGATGAATTGTCTGTAGAAATTTGTGAATCCTAGGAAGCTTTGTAACTGTCTGCGGGCTGCCAGCCTAGGACAACTTGTACTTTGGCTGGGTCCATCTCTATGCCCTCATTTGACCCTTGGTAGCCCAGGTAGTCTAGCCATGCATGGTGAAAATCATATTTTGACAGCTTGACATACATGTTGGCCATCAGAAGTTTTTCCAGTAACTGGCGGACTAGGGGTATGTGGTCATTCATGTTCTCAGTGTAGATGAGGATGTCATTCAGGTAGACAAGAACCCTCTTATAGAGGTGCTCATGCAGCACCTTATTTATTAATTATATGAACACTGCGGGTGGCCCTGCAGTCTGAAAGGCATCACTTTGAATTGGAAGCTCCCTAGGGGACAGTTGAATGCTGTTTTCCATTCATCTCCCTCCTTCATGCGGACTCGGTAGTATGCTTCTCTGAGGTCTAATTTGGTAAAGACTTTTCCCTTGGCTAGGTGAGATAGCATGTCCTTCATGAGTGGGAGGGGGTATAGGTTGTATACACACACACAGTTCATACCTCTAAAGTCAATGCATAATCTCATAGTTCTATCTTTTTTTTCTTTAAACAGGCCTGGGGCTGCAACCCGCGGCTTAGCTGGTTCAATGAACCCCCTTGCTAGATTTTTGTCTATGTATTTGTGCATTTCTTGCATTTGCCAGGACATCATGGCGTACAGTTTGGGTTTGGGTAGTTTTGCCCTGGTGATGATTTCAATGGTGCAGTCTGTTTCACCGTGGGAGGGGGTATTCTTCTGAATACTTCCACAAGGTTCTGATATTCTCTCGGGATCTGTTCGGCCTCTGGGGTTTTGTCAGAAGTGGCTGCCAGTTGTTCTGGTGGGCCCTTTGGGAGGGTTCCCTGTGTGGGTTCTATGCTTCTATTTGCTGTTGTGGAGGGGGTTGGGGTCCCCTTGCTATCCTCAGTCTTCCGTTGTCCACTTGCCACCAGATGGTCAGGCCACACTTGTCTAACCAGTAGAGCCCCAGTATGACCGCCTCTGTCATTTTGGGGGCTATTCCCAGTGATTCGCTAGTACTAGCTTCACTGGTTTGGTCAAGTGGGTGATGTAGGCTCCCCCCAATAGGGATCCATCAACCTGTTTGAACCTGATTGGGTGGGCCAGTCTTTTCACTCTAATCCCATTTCAGGACTGTGGTTAGGTTGGTCAAGCATCTAGTGCAGCCTGAGTCTATTAGGGCTTGAAAAGTCCCCTGGGTTCATGTTTTTGGGCTGTGGGGTCAGAGTTGGCTTGCTGTCAGGGTTCTGCCCAATGCCCTAATTAAATCATGAGCCTCGAGCCAAGCTTCAAAAGAAATCCAGTTATTTATTAGGAGCTTCATGTCAGCACATTCCAAGTGAAGCTAACTCTGAACCCATGTAATTTACATTCCAGCTCTGACCTTGTTTCCCCCCTCCCCCCAAGGTGTGTCATCAGTCACATTCTCCAATGAAGCAATTGTAGAAATCACTCCCCTCCAGCCACTGAGGGTAACCGGGAGATGGCCTTGACACAGATATGGCTGGAATGTGCTTTTGTTTTGACTGATGTGCTACCTTGCTGCAGCTGCAGAGTTTGTTTTCCCATCCCCCTTGCCTATGGCAACTTGAGAGCAGGCCAAGGATGCTTTGCGAGTTGACATTTTGCTTGTCAGAAGTTTACAAAAGCTGATCATATGATCATGGGACACCACCACCATTATAAATATGAACCAGTTGCCAAGCATCTGAATTTTGATTACATGACCATGGGGTTGCTGCAATGGTCATAAGTGTGAAAAACAGTCATAAGTCACTTTTTTCAATGCAGTTGTAACTTTGATCAGCACTAAATGAACTGTTGTAAGGACTGTATTAAGTTGATATCCAGGCTCTGTTGATTCTTTTAGTATAGAAAAATATCCTAACATTTTACTGGAATCTACCTATTATAATTTCCATTTCAGAGGAACCATGAAGAAACATTTCTTCATTCCAGCCAAATATGGCTTGACTAAAGTTGTTCCACCAGATTCATTCTGAATCATTTGATATCATATGATTCATTTGATATCATTTGATATCATTTGATATCATACAGTCCTTTCTCATATATTTCAATGCTATCAAAATATATTAGGACCAGACCAGGGGTGGGTTCTACTTATCTTTACTACTGATTCACAACGGGATTGAAGCTTCTGAGCATGCGCAGATCACCTATGACAACATCCGGGGCTGTGGGTGGAGCCTCCTGCCAGTTTTACTACCTGTTTTTGCAAACCAGTCCAAACTGGGGGCAACCCACCACTGGACCACACCATACTGTCCATCTATTAAGGAAATTGTCTAAATAAAATTGGATTCACAGGCCAATGTTTTGGAATTGTACAACTCAAGGTAATAATATATCATAGTTTTTCTGTATTATTTCTCCAGAATAGTTCTAATTATTAAGATCAAAACTACAAGCATATTTGTAAAGTATTCCATTTGCTTGCTGGAATATGTTTATTTCGTAGCCTGTAAAATATAGCATATGGAAAAACTATTTCAAGATACTTTGAGAAATGTAATAGTTGGACATCTATACATTCGGATTTATGAATTCCACAGAGCATGAATAGGAATATTAAAAATACAGGAATGTAGCATGCTATACATTTTTATAGGCATTGACTGGAGGGGTTTTGTAAAGTATACACATGACTTTTCCATCAGGCCCTGATGTGCTTATATCATATTCATCCAGATACATTTCAGTTAAAAGTGGGCTTTCCTTATACACTATGGTTCATATTTACTATGGTTCATGATGCTTGCTCAAAAAATCCAGGTCCTGGAGAAGTATAGAGTTTCAGGTTCAAAAAGTGCTGCATTGTTATTTGTTTTACATCATAAGAAGGAAAGCAATATCTTTCTATCTGTGTATGTATAATATTTACAATTAATATATAATTAATATTGCCCTGGTCATTTCAAAGCACCAGCATATTTTCAGAATATTTGAATTTCACCAGATGCTAATCCTTTCCTATTTCGTATTATGTGATCAAGATCTTTGAAGACTGTGAGCAAGAACAAAACTTTATTCATCTTTAAAATACAAAAAAAAAAGGCCCAACCCTGTGTTAATGGATAGAAAATACTTGTATGAAAACGTTTGCAGTTTTGGAATATATTAACGTTTCCAATAAAGTAGAACTGATACGTGCCATAATTCAATAGATTTTCCATTGAATTAAAATACAGTTTATTTTGTACTATTTTTTCACTGAAAGTTAAGATTTCCCAGTCAAGAGAATTACAGGTTTCACCTTGTTAGGAGTAATACAGGCATGTGGCAGGAAAGGAAAACATAATATAACTTTTCAGAACCTCTTTACACATATGGAACTTCATGAATTCAAGGTCTAGCTTCTTCTCTTTTTAATTAGGACACGTGGCAGTCAGGCAGATTTGTTTAACATGAGGACAAGGATGGAATATGATAGAGTATTAATTTGAGGCTGAATGTCCAACACATTGCTGTTTTGTAAATCAGGAAATGTTTGAAGGAGCACAGAATTCCAATCAACAATGTACAGCACAATAGAAAATTTTTCTTTCTTCCTGAAGACTTCCTCTCCTTTGAATAATCTGTTGGAGCCATAGGGTAGAAAGAACTAAAGGGATGCAGAGAATGGATGCTCTTACCCTCTCTAATAAACCCACACTCTCTTTCTCTCTCTGATATCCCTCTTTTGTCTTTATGTCAAGCTATAGTCTATGTGAAAAACCTGGTTCTTCCTTATCAAGATTTTGAACTGATCTGATGAAAAAAGCCTTTTGAAATTAGGCTGAGCAGTTATGAAATTCCCATGCCTATAGAACAGTTTTCTAGGTCTAGCGAACAATGGAACATCATAAAAAATATGCCCATTGCTTTAACTAATAGAGCTGATGAACTTGCATCTAAAAAAAAAATCCACATTAAAATTTCCACTAAGAAAATTATTTGATGACTTAGAGCTCCTGGCTCATCTAAATTCTCTTCTTGCAGTTAATATTATAAGGAAAAAAAGATTAATAATGCAGATAGTCCTGAATTTATAATTGTTTAGTGACCATTCAGAGATACGTTGGCATTGAAAAAAGTGACTTACAGCTGGTTCTTGTACTTACGACTTTTGTGGTATCCTCATAGTCCTCTAATTGTAATTCAGACACTTAGCAATCAGAATATACCCAGTGGTGGGATTCAGCCAGTTCGCACCACTTCGGGAGAACCGGTTGTTAACTTTCTGAGCAGTTTGGCAAACTGGTTGTTGGAAGAAATCATTAGGGCAAAAAAACGGTTGTTAAATTATTTGAATCCCACCACTGAATATACCTATAATGGTTGGAGCATCTGGGATATCTGAGAACATGGGCTCTGCAGGAGCTTGCTCTTTTAAAGTAAAATGCTATCCTGTAAATGCTACCTGTTTTGTACATGCAGCATCAGAATGCACATACAAAAGGAGTATATGCTTTTGCATTTTGTATGTGCCTTGCATTACAACAGTAAGGCACTGCTTCCATCATTCCTCTCTGCCCCTCTTGTCTTTCCTCTGGATGTCTCTGCTAAGATGATTTTAAGGATTTGTCTTTGTTTAGTTTGTGGGGCTTTGAGGACCATAGTCTCTCATTATTTCTATAACTTAAATGAAACAGATTTGTTAAAAATGCTCAAACTATTTGATTTTAGGAAGAAGAGAGATTTTTTTGTTCAATGTGTTTATTTCTAACAAAAAGCAGTATTTAAAAAATTGACTGTACTTTTCCATGCATCTTGGAAAACAAAATACATTTCTGCATTTAGTTTAACAAAGATAAATATACAATTGTCTGAAATACCATATTTTGTTTTGTTTTCCCTTTGAACAAAATATATATTTAGGTGCTATAAAGCAATATCAACTTTTATTCATTTTGTAATCCATATTAAATGTTCTTTGTACAATCACATAATTCTTTCAAAATTCACAAAGTAGATAATCTGAAAGCATAGAAATACAATGGCATTAAATATGAAACAGAAATCTTATTGTATTACAGTACAATTCTGAGTATATCACTGTACTCACATTAATACATTGAGTACAACAGGAATTATTAAGGTAATTGGGAACAGGCTTATAACTTTAGTCTAGCAAAAAATAAAAGTCATCAGAAAACAAATTCTTACGGACTAAGAAGTTGACAATACACAGGTTGATCTTCAAAATGCCAAATATGTTGACCTTTAAAATGCCACAAGAGTGCTTGTTTAAAATTTGCATTCGAGCAAATATGAGTTGTGCAGATTTTGTCTCTGCAACAAAGAATTTAAAAACCTGTTTTAACTGAAACTGGGAATTTATATTTGGTTCAGTCTACTTTTTTCTTATTTAGCATGTAGCTAGGCATACAGTTTATAAATGTTAATACTACAAGGATACCACACATAAAGCGTCACATTCTTCTTGAGTTTCAAATCTATTTTTATTTCCACCACAGCCACCATACCAGAACTGGAAGCACATGTTTTGCTGTTTATGGAAGTACCACTTCAGAGTATAATTTTCACACTCGCCGCTGTCCATGTCTTTTGAACAAACATCTACAAAAATTTTTAAAAAATGCTTTTTTGTTAGTGACATGAGATCAGTCATGATGAATCTTGCTGTCAAGAATGAGAAAGTGGGAAATTTAGAGAGAAGAATTCAAGTTGTAGAAAAATGCACTGGAAACCTTGCATGAAAAGAAGAAAAGAACTGAAATGAAGATTTATGGGTCTGAGGCAGTGATGAAATGTAAATTTTGTTACTACCGGTTCTGTGGGCCTGGCTTGGTGGGGGGGGGGTGTTAATATGACTGAGTGGGCATGGCCAACTTTTTTTTTTTTTACTTTTAAAATCATTTTTCTACAACCTCTTCAGCTGAAGAGGTAGTTAAAAAAATGCTTTTAAAACCTCTGACGATCCCAGATGACTTTCCTGATCAGCAGAGGCTTTTTCTTTTTTTTAAGCCTCTGACGATCGCAGCTGACTTGCCTGATCAGCAGAGGCTTTGTTTTTACTTTTAAAAGCATGTTTTTCTATAACCTCTTCGGCCGAAGAGGTTGTAGAAAAATGCTTTTAAAAATTAAAACATGATGATTGCGCGGCTCAGCTGGGCAATGGGGGGGGGCAGGGATTTTTGCTACCGGTTCTCTGAATCACCCACCTCCATCGCTACCGGATCGGGCAATCCAGTCCGAACTGGGAGCATTTCACCCCTGAACTGAGGTTAAAAAAAGTTAAGGGAAAGAGAGTACGATGACAATCACTGAAAAAAAAAGGCAGAAATCAAATTTCTATTTTCTTATTTATTTACTTTTTATTTTTCTGATTTCTATTTTCATTTTTTATATTCTTATTGTATTGTAAAATTTAATATCTACCTATAGGCAAGGCCTTTTTTGCAGTTTGAAACATTTTTATGCAGTTTATGACTCAAGGATAAGCAAGCTGCTGTGTAGAATTGTGTCCCACATCCTCTTACTGCTTTTTTTAATTCTTGGCATCATAGAAAAAAGAGTCTGTTGAGTCCACAAATATAGAGGTGTTGGCTTATCTTTGGCTTGATGTGGGTTATTACCTGTGCAGGCTTTCTCAGCTGTCAAACCCAGTTTTGTTTCCAATCCATCCTCCACAACTCTATCCTAATTTATTATTGTTAATTTCCTTTCCCATTTTAGTCCAAAGATTTCCAAAGCAGCTTACATACAAAATACAGTATAAGAAATTAATGAGTTTAAAAACAATTCCAATAATTAAGTTCGTTAAAGACAGTATAATGTAGGACTAAGAAATATTATTTCTTAAAATTTGGAACATAAAAGGAAATCTTATTTAGCATTGGGAAACCTTTCTTTAAAAAAACATGCTAAGGTTGATGCACCAGAATTGAAAAGGCCCTCACGTCTTCACTTCTAATGATAGAAAAATCCAGGCAAGTAAGTCTTCAAGCACTACTTCCATTACTGGCACTCAGAAGCAGAATCAGTACACTTATTTCAAGCCTGGCAAGACAGTTTGAAAGAGAGGTTGTACATTTTTTTCCATCAATTCCATTTGAAATGTAATTTCAAAAAGGAGAGAATTGCGCAGTATTTCTCCCAGATAGTGTAGTATCCCTGTACTTATTTCATCTTGAGGTAATTAAAGAATATATCTGTGTAATGTCCTGTCTTGCATTATATACTCACCTCTCCAGTGACATACAGCTTCCTGGCTTTTCTACACTTTTAATAGGTTTCCTGCAGGGGTGAAATCTAAAATTTGTTACTACCGTGGTAGTGGGCGTGGCTTGGTATGGGCGTGGCTTGGTGGGGTTAAGAGGTTGCAGGAAAAAATGCTTTTAGAAATCTCTGACGATCAGGCAAGTCAGCTGGGATCGCCAGAGGCTTTTAAAGGCATTTTTCCCCTACAACCTCTTTGGCCGAAGGGGTTGCAGAAAAAAATGCTTTTAAAAGCCTCTGACAATCCCAGCTGAGTTGCGCGATCATCAGAGGCTTTTTTTTTAATTTTTAAAAGCATTTTTTTCAGCCGAAGAGGTTGAATTCACAACCTAATGCTTCCATACATGGTTAACTAAATATTCCTACTAGTAAGATTCATAGAATCATAAGGTTCAAAGGGATTTAGGATGATCCATGCAAGGTAGGAGTCTTCCTATCATCCTGGACAAATGGTTGTTCAATCTTTTCTTGAAAACCTCCAGCTGTTTATTTATTTGTTTGTTTGTTTGTTTGTTTCACATTTCTGAACCACCCATCTCCCTCAAAGGATATGGCTATGGTAATTGAAAATCTCTCCAGTAATAATCCCAACTAATCCAAACATCATGAAATTAGGAAAAGGATGTTGTAGACATTGATGGAATGAAAAAACAAGATTCATTGAGTTAATTCATTCTATACACTCCTTAACTTCTTCGGTGCCTATTTGCTTAATCATATTTTTTTCTCAACTAAGGTAAACAAAATTGGACCTGCATCAGAAAATAGGCATCGTGTTCTTTCAATCTTCATGCAATTTTGGTTAGTTCGATGAAAGAAAAAAATGGAATTTGGTGAGTGCTATACATCTAAAATGAAACTGTACTTTGGTTCAACAGAGTTCTTCCCTCTCCCTTCAAGTTAGCCTACAAAATGCAGCCTTTTCTATCAGTTTTCTTTACTCTACAACTAATATGCTACCACTTTAAGTTTTCAATGCTGTATAATTCTTTTCTGTTCTTTCCTCCAGAAATATATGATTCTGTATATTACTTAGCTTTATTATTTTTATAGGTGTGGATGGTATATCTCTTGCACTATCTAATTTGAAAGCCTATTACCCAATATGTAGTTAACAATAAATGGCCCTGGTTTAAATGATCAGTTCCAAAGCTACGTAATTCAAATAATATTTCTCTATCAGCCTTTTCTCTGTCATCTGATGCCTTCCAAATATAGTTGACTATAGCCCCCATAATCCCAATTCTATGTTCTTTCAAACTGGATAAGAAAGGAATTATAGTCCCTAACAGCAGATATATCTTCATAATATACACAGAGAAATTCAAAGCAATGAGGTATTCCCATTTTAAAAACTGTGTACAAATCAAAAAAAGGTGTGCAAAAATTTAAAAACAAAAAAATTAAGATGGACTTGGAAAATCACTTAAGTGGAAATGCTTGCTGACTCTAGAAATTTCAGATCAGTGTGAAAGTAAGAATTTCAGTTTAAATGCGTTTTCAGATATAACTTTGACCTTTGTCAAACCATAGTAAGTACCACTGAAATGATATGTCTAACTATAAAACATGCTGAAGAAAAATAAAGAAGATGGAAAGAATCGGTACATTTCTTCTATGTCTCAACTCTTGTTGCCAGAATTAACCCTGACAGCCTTTGATCAGAAAACAAAACTGATTACTAAAATGTATAAATGTCTCTTTAGTTTTAGGAACTGAGCTGTAGGCTGTTTTTTCTCAAACCTTCCCCCAACATTAAGTCAGTGGTGGGTTCCAAAATTTTTTACTACCAGTTCTGTGGGCGTGGCTTAATATGTGGGTGTGGCTTGATGGTCATGTGACTGGGTGGGTGTGGCTGGGTGATCATGTGACTGGGTGAGCAAGGCCAACTTGACGTCATTCAGGTCAAGGGTTAGGGTTAAGGTTAGGGTGCCTGGCCTCTCCTAGCTTCAAAGGCCTCAACGAGATATAATTTCACTGTCTATTTATTTACTACTATTTAACATCCAAAATATATTATTTAATCCTATGTATATATGCCATATGTGTACATACATATTACATAGTATAGAGTGTATATAGGCACACAAAAAGATACATTATCTATTATATATACTGTATGTGTATGTACACACACACACACACACACACACACACACACACACACAGAGCTCTTCTAAAACTATACACATTCAACCTCATTTACTACATTTGGAAAAACGTAGTAGTCCACTTTCTGCCACACATTTAACTATAACTTCTGTACATTTAGAACATTATACACACCTTTAGATGTTCTTCCCTAGTTTGCACATGACTGTTAGAGCCAGGAGAGGTCATGGATTGAGTAAAATGTGGTGAAACTCACTTTACAACACTCCTGCTTAGCAACCAAAATTTTGAACTCAATTGTGGTCACAAGTCAAGGAATATCTCATTCCTCTGTATGGCAGCCTTGTCCTAGTAAACTCCTTCTCCTTTCTGGCAATTTTCCTCTCTGTTAGAGGCATCAAAATAATCCAGATGATATAAGGTTTCCTGTTGGAGCAGGAGGTTGGACTAGATGGCCTCCAAGGTCCTTTCCAGCCCTAGATTGCTGTCCTGTTTCAAAGTGTCTTCTGAAGCCACGTCTAGTGCCAGGGTTTGTGGTCCTTCCTTCCTCTTCTATCTCTCTCTCTCCCCCACCCCCTTCCTCTTTCTTTCTTTCTTTCTTTCTTTCTTTCTTTCTTTCTTTCTTTCTTTCTTTCTTTCTTTCTTTCTTTCTTTCTTTCCTCTCTCTCCCTTCCTCTTTCTTTCTCTTTCTTCTTTCTTTCTTCCTTCCTTTCTTTCTTTCTCTTTCTTTCTCTCTCTCTCTTTTTTCTCTCTCCCTTCCTCTTTCCTTCTTTCTTTTCCTCTTTCTTTCTTGTCTCTCCCTCTCTCCCTTCCTCTTTCCTTCTTCCTCTTTCTTTCTTTGTCTCTTTCTTTCTTTCTCTTTCTTTTCTTTCTTTCTTTTTCTCTTTCTTTTTCTCTCTCTTTCTTTCTTTCCTCTCTCTCTCTCCCTTCCTCTTTCCTTCTTTCTCTTTCTCTTTCTTTCTTTGTCTCTTTGTCTCCCTCTCTTTTCTTTCTCTCGGGCTTACGGGCAGCGGGGAAGGGAGTAGAGGAGGCAGGCTGGGATGGGGGGGGAGCAGGGGCAGCTAGGTAGGCCACGACTCACAGGCTTACCTGGCAGGTAGATCAGGGCCACTCAGTTGGGGCGCAGTGCTTTAGACAGGCAAGCTGCAAGCAAGGACCCATGAAGTAGACGTGAGGAGTGACTCGGTGGAGGGGGGCGAGTGAGCAAGCGTCGGGCAGCCAGGGCCAGCAAGCGGGGACTGGTTTGGGGGTGTGGCCAGCCAGTGATCACTAGTGGTTCAGCGACCAAGCCCAAATTACCGTTACCAATTCTCCCGAACCGGTGCAAACCGGTAGCAACCCACCACTGCATTAAGTGTATATATGGCAGGCATTGCATCATTAATGTATCATTATATAATGATAGGCATTTCATATTTTAAGGAGTTTTTATAAAAACACCCAGTAGGCAGTTTTCAACATCCCTATTTATATAATGTGCACACATATATCATATGTACATACCCTTTGCTCTTTGTACTTTCTCAAAACGTTCTTCAGTCTCTGTCCCATTCCCATTTTGAATACTGATGCTGGTGAAGTATTTATTTTCTATTTGACCATACTGTTCTTCTTTTGGTCCTTGGGTGGTCTTTAAAATTTTGTTTTGCACATTTTTCCTGGATAATTCTGAAGGTTGCAATAAATCATTATGTTTCAATCCAGGAAACAGAATCCTATAAACAGAAAAGGAACAAAAAGTGAATGTTTAGTTACACAATTTTGAAAATTATACCCAAGGAGTCTTTAATTCAGATTGTTATACCATTATGCAATTTAGGACTTTCTGATCAGCTAAGGCCTATGGCAATTACTATATCAATTACTTCTCATGAAGAAGAATTGATTTTTGTACCTGTCAGTTATCCCTACAGCTTGCTGATAGGTGTCTCCTCGATCCAGGTTGTCACATTTTTCTTGCAAGTTTATAGGAGGATAAAGATTCAATTCCCCTATGAGGATGGGGAAAGACACTGTTTAGAGCTGAATACTACAATAAATTACTTATTCATAATTGAAAAAATAATGTTTGCATTTAAACAAATGTCTGCATGTACATATTCTATGATTTAAGAAGATCTAGTAGCGAGTCTTGCCCTGCATTCCTCTGTCACTTGTATATACATCCCATTAGATCAGGGGTAGGGAACCATGGCCCCTTTATGACCTGTGGACTTCAACTCCCAAAATTCTAGAGCCAGCTTTTAAAATTTCCAGCTGAGCTTTATAATACCAGATCATTCAAAGCATGGCTGGCTCAGGAATTCTGGGAGTTGAAGTCCACAGGTCATAAAGGGGCCACAGTTCCCCACTCCTGCATTAGATGTTTGCACATAGGCTTGGGTAAGAGGTTGCTGAAACAAAGACAGAATGGCTTAATTAGCAAATCAGAATGTGATTGCATCCAAGCTTATTTTCATTGTTTGTCACATGTAACAAGGCATGTTGTCACAACTCTAACAAGCCATGTAGATGTCAAAATAATAAGTGTATCAGGCATCAACAAACAGTCCCACAAAAGGAATTAAAGTATATCACTTACTTTTCAAAAGATTTAAAAAGGCCTGGCTAAACCTCAGAACATATGGCAATTCAAGCTTATGAACTTTGCCCATCTGTAATAAGTGCTGCTCCACTGGAACACTGGAGAGTTCTGTCATTTCTGAATCATCAGTTTCACTGCCAAGGGCCAAGGTGAACATGGTGAATCCTTGGCATTTGGCTTCCAATGACATTTTTAGAAGTTTTTCTCTATCCCAGGCGCTTGTCTTACTTCCCAGTATTGTAAAAATGATCTTGTGCTTTCTTGGCCTATCAGCTTCCAAAAACACATTATTAATGGTCCATTCTAGAGCATGACCCACAGCTGATGAACCTTCCAGCTGGTGAAGTGATTCCTGAATATGCATTTTCATCAGATCCTTAGTGCTGTATGTAGTCAAGTCAAACTCTAAAGATACTGAGCTTGATAATTCAGTCCCTGAGAAATTTGGTGAAGCATGTTGTACCAGAGCCACTCTTGCTCCTTTGTCTGACTCAACAGGCAGGGAAGCAATAGCAAAAGAATCCAACATTTTGCTCACAAACACCTTCATTGTTTCAAACTCCTCACTGCTGACATCCCGAGAGCCATCCATGATGTAAGCTACATCCATATTTATATTAATTGGAGGGGGATCCACTATTTCACATTGTGAAACAGGGTTACATGTATCTGTGGAAGAAGCACAAAGTAATGACAATATTTTGCTTGGCTTCTCTTTTATAAATGTTTCTCAACAAATGAATTTGAAATTACCCTCACACAGAGACACAAGTTCATATTGGTATGAACACTGAAAATTATAGTGTTATTAAATTTAAAGAGACCTAGTTTGAGAAGGTATTTTAGGGTAGCTGTGATTAGAACTTGATTCATATTTTAAAAATCTGTCTATATGATGAACTGTATGATGAGAATATTCTGCACATTGAATGTATTTATTTCTTATGATTAAGAAACTAATTGATTGATCAGTTCAACATTATATTAAAAACTATTAGCCAGGAGCATCCAAGGGCAGGATTCGGGGCTCCAAAAAGTCACAATGGTGCCTGTGCAATTGAAACCATGTCCCTTTTTCAATTGTGTTACCTGCACAACACATGTAAAAAAGGGAAGGGGTTCAAGCACAGAGTTGTAGCTGTCTTCTTATTTTTAAACCCTGCTGCTAATGCCTCTGGCAGAAGCAAAGGACATAATGAGTATCAAGGTATTTTATAAAATAAAAATAAAACAACAGACCAAACAAAAACAATATACTAAAGTAAATTAAAACATATCAAATTGCACGAAAATATTAATAATAATTCATCCTATTTAACTTAGCCATATTTTCTGCTCATAGTGAACTACTTATGCCAGTGATGGCAAACCTTTTTCTCGTGGCATGCCGGAAGTGTGCATGTGCGCACGCAACAGCTCGTGTGCGTGCCAGCACCCATAATGCAATGCGACCCTCCCACATGCGCATGCGCACATGACCCTCCCCCGCACATGCGCCCCACATTGCGCATGCGCGCCCTGCACATGCACTTCGGGCACCCCTCCATCCCATTTTGGGCCTGGAAAGTCGTTATTTTGAGGGCAGTCCAGGGCTTCCCTGTCTCCCCGCCTGATAAGACTTCTGGCATAGCCCCAGGCCTCCGGAGGGAAGCCCCGGCCTGCTGCTCAGATCCCCTGGTGCCGCCCATGTCCCCTGCCCTGCAATAATGAAGCGCTTTGCCAAGAAAAGCAGAGCCTCTTGGTCAGGCGGGAGGTGAGATCTGGTGGCTTCTCCATCTCCTGGCTGCTCCAGGAGCAGCCTGTCTGTTACCCAGCGGGAATGGTCTGTTGCCATAGCCTGCCCCCGCCCCCCCCTGCCCCGACAGCTGGTCTGGGGGTTCTGCCAGAGAAGTGGCAGAACCGTTGTTGCTGGGGGAAAGGGGGGGTGGAGGCAAGGATAGGCGGTCCAGGGCTTCCCTGTCTCCCCACCCGAGCGGGCTTCTGGCATGTCCCAGACCTCTGGGGGAAGGGATTGAAGCCCCAATCTGCTGCTCCTTCCGTTGTATGGAAAGACCAATATACTGCTTGAATTATCTGTTCCCTCCCTTCCCTCAATCCCATTTCATGGCTTCCCAACTTCCTCATCTTCTGCTTTCTTGTGTGTTTTCTCCAAGCAGCCAAGAGAGAATGGGCTTGCAAGGCTGTCAGTCTCCCATGCCTGCGATGCCAGATCTTGCCTCCTGCCCGACTGAGAGACTCTGCTTTCTTTGGCAAAGCACTTCATTATTGCAGGGCAGGGGACACGGGCAGCACCGGAGGATCTGTGCAGCTACTATCCCACCCCTCCTCAGCCTCGGTCACGCCGCGAGGCTCCAATTCAAAGAGAAGACGGAGGAAGAGGGAGGCGGGGGAAGTCTAAATGGCGGCTACCTCAAGCAAGCTGCAGTGCTATTACGCAGGGCTCTGAGTGGTTGGAGAAGAGGCAGAAATAGCAGCCAGGGCTGCGCTTTCAGCAGGTAAGCAACGCTGCCTCTGCCGTGAGGAACTTTGGAGAGAGAGGCCGGGGGCAGGCTGTAGCCATTTTTGCCAGCTAAGAGACAGGCTGCTCGCACAGCCTGTCCCCGCCCTCTCCAAAGTTCCCCACGGCAGAGGCAGAATTGCTTACCCGCTGAAAGTCCAGCCCTGGCTGCTATTTCTGCCACTTCTCCAACTGCCCTGCATAATCGCGCTGCAGCTTGCTTTAGGTAGCTGCCATTTGGACTCCCCCCCCTTCCTACGTTTTCTCCTCCTTGAGTTGGAGCCTTGCGGTGTGGCCGAGGCTGAGGAGGGGTGAGATAGTAGCTGCACGGATCCCCCGGTGCCATGCATGTTCCCTGCGCTGCAATGATGAAGTGCTTTGCCAAGGAAAGCTGAGTCTCAGGCTTCTCCTGGAGCAGCAAGGAGAAGGAGAAGCTGCCAGCGGGGAGGTGAGCTGCCCCAGGAGGACCGGAGGAGAGTGCAGCTTCTCACTCTTGGAGATCTACCAGTTGGGAAGTGGGCGTGGTAAGAGGTGCGCTGACCAGGAAGCGGTCATGCTCCCTGGCCAGAGAGGGTTGCACAAACCTTTGCTGAAGTGAACGTGCAACCCTCTCCTGCCAGGGAGCATGACCGCTTCCTGGCTCGCACATTTCTTAACACTTTCTGTGACCATTTCCCCACCTGTGGATCTCCATGAATGAGGAGCTGCGCTCTCCTCCAGTCCTCCTGGGACAGCTTGCCTCCCCGCTGGTGGCTTCTCCTTCTCCTGCCTGCTCCAGGAGCAGCCTGTCTGTTACCCAGCAAAAACGGCCTGCCACCACAGCCTGCCCCCACCCTCTCTGCCCCGGCAGTTGCTCCTGGTGCTGCCGGAGAAGCAGCAGCACAACAACCGCTCTTGCTGAGGGCAAGGGGGTGGCGGTGGCAGGAGCAGCAGGCAGGGGCTTCCCTCCCTCCCTCCCTCCCTGCCTCTGGAGGCCTGGGGCTATGCTAGAAGTCTGCTCAGGCGGGGAGACAGGGAAGACCCGGACCACCCATCCTTGCCACCACTGCCCCCTCGCCCTTGGCGGCAGCTTTTCTTGCACAGCCACTTCCCTGGCAGTAGCAGGAGCAGCTGGCAGGGGAGAGGGGATGGTGGCAGGCTGCGGCAGCAGACAGTTCAAGCCAGCTCAGAGGCAACGTTCTTCCTCCTGCCAGCCCCGAGCTCAGCTCCAGGCAGCATCCAGCCAGCCATACCTGGCCTCCCGCTGCAGCAGACCACGTGGATTCCAGGCAGCGCAACTTTGGGGCCTTTCCTCATGGTGGCGGTGACGAGGCAGGCAGGCAGCCAGGTGCATGGGAGCGACTGGTGGCAGTGCTCCTGGCTGGCAAAGGGCGGAGTCCTGGGGCTGCATGCGGGCAATGACGGCATGCTGGTGTGCATGCGCACTAAGACATTAAGGCCAGCTGATCGTTGCACACGCATGCATACCAGTAACCAGCAGACTAGCTGGCTGGTGCGCATGCGTGCCCTGGAAACCCGGAAGAAGAATGGGCAATGCCACGCGTGCCGGTGACATGGCTCTGCGTGCTACTTCCGGCACCTGTGCCATAGGTTTGCCAACACGGACTTATACTATTTCTTTAAAAAATATTTTAAATAATATATAAAAACCAAACAATGAATCATGGTCCACAGGTAGAATACCTTCTCCACATAATTCCTTGTTCATGTCCATGTTTATACTTATACCTGTTATCTAGTACATGTTCGACAAATAAAATAAATAAAATAAATAAATAATAATGTAGATTACACTTAAAATTATGGTAACCTTCCAGTTTCAGACTTTCCACATGTGATTACAATTCCCTTTTTTTTTTCTTATTAGCACCATTCCCCAAAAGATTTTGATCACTAAGCCAACTAAGCAAGATATCTTGGTTTCTAAATTTCCAGCTGAGTTTTATAGTGCCAGATCATTTAAAGTCTTAGCTTCCATCTTAGTCATAAATATCTGTCAGGTGAGCAAGAGGAAGAAATATCACTGAAGCTATTTAACCTATGGACTTATATCTGATGACAGGATGCAGATACGAAAGGCAAAGAACTGCATTGTGTTATTTGAATTAAGAACTTTGTTTAAATGTTAAATTGGTATATTTTCAAGATTAGAAATAAGATTTAAATTTGATGAAGTAATAATTAAATAAAGACTTAATGAATATTATATGAAGTAATAAATAAAATGTAAGGAAGTTCTAGAAATGGAAATAAGATTTAGAAATATAAACATGTTTGAATTGTATTTTTAATAGTGAATCTGGGGTAAGAATTTTTGAAATGTACTATGAGGTATTAATTGAATTAAGATTTAAGGTGGATTAATAGAAGGGTAATTGCTTTGATTAAATTAATATGAGTTAGCTTTCTATAAGACAGTAATAGTTGAGATATATGATAAGTGTTATGGCAAAAATAGAATATATAAAATTTTGTTAAAGATGAACAAAAAGTTGAACAAATTTATGACCGGATCAATGCTCTGTTCTGAAAAGATGTATTGTATGTTTATTTGTGTGTTTTTCAAAAAAAAAAAAAAATCCCCCCAAAAAGGCAAAGAACTGCATTATAAGTGTGCACTATCCATTCTATCATTTTTCATCATCATTGTTTTTACCTATGATCTTAACATGACATCTCCTTTTTGTTGAATTTTACCAGAGAATATCTGATGCTTGCTAGATCCATATACAAACAGATGAAGAAAATTTGAGTTCTGAAATTAAAAGACCTAGTGTGTGCATGTGCGTATTTATGAGACACACTGAGAAAATAGTGTATATATAACCATTTTAAGAAATAAGAGAATCAATGAGCTCACCATAGCAGAGAGAACAAAGTGAAACATAATTCAATCTCTCTTCCTCCTTGGATTCCCAAACAAACAATTTAAATCGACCAGTATCATCTGTCTAGATAAAAGAGAAGATAATACAGGAAGAAATACATTGAAAATGTTTTCTGAACTGCAAGGTATTTTATTTACACATGCACATCAGGAGTGAAATGCTCCCGGTTCGGACCGGATCGCCTGATCCGGTAGCGATGGAGGCGGGTGGTTCGGAGAACTGGTAGCAAAAATCCCTGCCCCCCCCCCGCATGCCCAGCTGAGCCGCACAATCATCAGAGACTTTTTTTTACTTTTAGAAGCATTTTTTTCTACAACCTCTTCAGTCGAAAAAATGCTTTTAAAAGTAAAAAAAAAAAGCCTCTGATGTTCACGCAGCTCAGCTGGGATCGTCAAAGGCTTTTAAAAGAAAAAAACCCTTTTTTCTTTTAAATGCCTCTGACAATTCCAGCTGAGTTGCCTGATTGGCAGAGGCTAAAGCCTCTGCCGATCAGGCAACTCAGCTGGGATCGTCAGAGCCTTTTTTTTTTTTTGTTATTGAAAAGTTTTATAAGAAATACAAACATTTTCTCCCACCACCACCCCTCCCCCCCCACCCCCCTCCCTAGACTTCCCAGAACAAGCACAGGGTATAGACATTCACAAACGTAAAACTAAAATATGCTAACAAATTATTGCATTCATATTTTCCCTAGATCTTTAACTCCTTATAACTCAAAAAACTATAAACATAAACTACTTAAAAATATTTCATTCATAAGCTATATGAATCTTCTTATTCGGATACTTCTTTTGTATATAGTCAATCCATCTTCTCCATTCCGATATGTATCTTTCATTAGAATGGTCTTTAAGATATGATGAAATTTTTGCCATCTCAGCCAAATGCACAACTTTTAGTGTCCATTCCTGAATGGTGGGTGGATCTTCCTTCTTCCAGAACTGTGCCACCAGTAACCTGGCAGCTGTTATTAAATTCAAAACCAACTTAGTCTCTATTACAGTACAATCCGTGACTATTCCCAACAGAAAAAACTGTGGTGTAAATTTAATTTTTTTCCTTAAAATATTTTGAATAATCCATCATATTTTTATCCAAAAAGCCTTAATTTTTTTACATGTCCACCATATATGAAAATATGTAGCATCTTCACACTCACATCGCCAGCACTTAGGTTGCAAATTTGGATACATACAGGCTAGTTTTTTTGGGTCTAAATGCCATCTATAAAACATTTTATAAAAGTTATCTCTTAAATTTTGAGTTTGTGTAAAACTTACATTTCTAACCCATATCTTTTCCCATGTTTCCATCATTATTGGTTCACCTATATTCTGTGCCCATTTTATCATACAGTCCTTAACTAGCTCTGTTTCTGAATCTATTTCCACTAATACATTATACAACCTTTTTATATGCATTTGACCTTTATGCATTTGCTTTATCAAATTCTCATCCTGTTGCAAAATACCAGTTTTTTTATCTTCTCTCCATCTGGCCTGCAGCTGTCCATACTGAAACCAAGTCCTAATAATTCCTTCTTCTCTTAATTGCTCCATAGATTTTAATTGTAATCTGACTCCTTCCTTATAAAGGAGTTCCTTATATGTAATCTTATCTTGCTTTTGCTCCAAATTTATGTTCTCTATCGCATGTCTGGGTACTGTCCATATTGGTAACTTATCATTTAATTTATATTTATACTTTTTCCAGACCCGCAATAGAGCATTTCTTAATATATGACTTTTAAAAGTCTTATCTACTTTCTTGTCATACAGTAAATAAGCATGCCAGCCATAGACCCTTCAATATTCAATATTTTTTCCTCCGTTAAATTTATCCAGTCTGTAATTGCTGAGAGGGCCGCAGCTTCATAATACAATCTTAAATTGGGCATTTTAAGACCACCTCTTTCTCAAGTATCTTGCATTATCTTATGATTAACTCGCGGTTTCTTCCCTGCCCACACAAACTTGTTTATGCCCTTCTGCCATTCCTTCAAATTTTCATCTTTCTTAAGTATAGGTATCATTTGAAAAAGAAATAAAAATTTTGGTAAAATATTCATTTTTACAGCGGCTATCCTTCCTAGCAAAGACAGTTGTAATTTTTTCCTATTTTCCATTTCTTTCTGTATTTTTTGCCATAACGGTTCATAGTTATACTGATACAATTTCATATTTGCAGTCAAAATATAAACCCCTAAATATTTAACCTTCTTAACTATTTCAAATCCTGTTAACCTTTCTATCTCTTCTTTCTGGCTTCTAACCATATTTTTAGCTATTATCTTTGTTTTAGCTGTATTTATTTTAAAACCAGATACATATCCATATGAGCAGATTATATCCATCAAGGCTGTAAACGATTGTACCGGTTGGGCTAAGGTAACAACCAGGTCATCCGCAAATGCTCGTAGCTTGTACTCATGCTGTCTAATTTTAATTCCCTTTATTGTATCCGTCCCACGTATTTTACTTAATAAAATTTCCACCATCAAAATAAACAGTAACGGAGACAAGGGACAGCCTTGCCTTGTTCCTTTTTTTATATTAAAAATATCTGTTAAACCACCATTAATTATTATTTGTTTGTTTTTGATATATTGCCTTAATAGATTGTACAAAATGTTCTCCAAGTTGCATCCTTTCTATTAATTTTAATAAAAATTGCCAATTCAATCTATCAAAGGCTTTTTCAGCATCCAAAAAAACTAGCACTGCGGGGACCTGGTTGTTCCTTCCCAAATACTCTAATAAGTTAACAATTTGTCTTACATTGCTTTTCATTTGTCTACCATTTATAAAACCAGTTTGATCATGATGAATCATTTGCTGCATAACTGTCATTAATCTATTTGCTAAAATTTTAGCAAAAATCTTATTTAAAAGTGAAATTGGCCTATAGTTTTTAGGATCTAGTATTGTCTTGCCCATCTTTTGGAATCAACGAAATAAATGCTGTCTTCCAAGTTGGAGGTACCCCTCCTCCCTGTTGTATATTATTAAATAATTCCTTCAATGGTTCCACCATTTCTTCCTGTAAGCTTTTATAATAAATGGCTGTCAAACCATCAGTTCCAGGAGCTTTACCCACTTTCAACTGCTTAATTGCAAACAAAATTTCCTCGGAAGTTATCAATTGATTTAAGCTATCCCTCTGCTCTTTTGAAATTGTATAAATGTTCTCTTTCTGCAGATATCTATCTATATCTATATCTTTAATTTTATCACCAGTATACAGCCTTGAATAAAACTCTAAAAAAGATTTTTTAATCAATTCTTGCTCATAAACCTCTTTACCCTTATATTTTATTTTCTCTATTGTCCTTAATTTCTGCTTTTTCCTTAACAAATATGCTAACCACCTGCCTGGTTTATTAGCATTACAAAACGTATTATGTTTTGCATATTGTAAATTAGTTGCCACTTGGTCTGCTATTAATATATTAAATTGACCCTTCAATAAATTGATTGCCTCTTTAATTTTCTTATCTGTTGGGTTGGCTATTAAAGCCCATTCCTATTTACTAATCTCATCTTCTAATTCTTTTCTTTTTTTCCCCTGCTTCTTTCTATATTTATGGTTCAAATATATCAAAATTCCTCGCATATATGCTTTACTTGCATCCCATACCATTTCCATAGATGTACCCTTTTGCATGTTCATAGCAAAAAATTCTTTCATAAATTTTTTACACTCTTTTACATTTTCTTCGTACCTAAACAAATTATCATTTAACCTCCAGGACCTCCTAGGCCCTTTTCCATACTCCAATTCCAGCCAAACTGGACTATGGTCTGTCAATGTTCTTGAGCAAATCTTCGTATTCTTCACCCTAGATAAGAGATCATTGGAATTAATATAAAATCGATCCTTGAGAAAGATTGGTGTCTATCCAAAAAAAAAAGTAAAATCTTTTTCTTCTGGGTTTCTTTCACACCAAATATCCCTCAACTCCCAGTCGTCCATCATCTCCCAAAATGCTTTGGGCAATTTTGCTCTTGTTAAAACATTTTGTTTGGGTCCCTTCTAGTCTTTCTTTACGTCCAAAACACCATTCCAGTCCCACAATAGGATGCAAGTTTTATATCCCCATTGTGTCAACTTTGAATGTAGTAGATTATAAAATTTTTCTTGTTGTTGGTTCGGGGCATAAACTCCAATTACAAGTATTTTTTCTCCTTTTATTAAAAGTTCAATCGCTAAAAATCTTCCTTGATCATCCGCTTCAACTAATTTAGCAATTAAGTCTCTTTTGAAATATATAACTATACCGTTTTTCTTCTCTGGTGCTGCTGCTACATAGTGTGTACCTAATCTTGAATTTATCAGATATTTTTGATCTTGTATCCTGATATGAGTCTCTTGTAAACAATTTACTTCATTCTTAAATTGTTTGAGATAGTGAAATATTTTCCTTCTCTTCTGTGGAGAATTCAAACCATTGAGATTCCAGATCAAAAATCTAGTTCCCATCTCTGGGCCTCTGAAGCATCTGGAGCAATTTCTGATGGTCTTGCCTCAGTTGACCTTTAAGTCTTGCTCCCCCCACAGCTTCTGTTTTGGTAGTTTCTTGGGTTGCCATCTGAAGTTGTTGCTGTCTTAATTCTTCCTTGCACTTAGCTGTTGCTGCTCTGGTTTGTCTTTGATCCTTTGGTTCTTCTAATATGTCAATTAAGTCCAAATCTTGAACAGCCATCTGGATTTGTAACGGTTCTTCTTGACCAGTCGAAGCTCCCCCCTGAACTACTGTCAATAGCTCTTCTCTCTCTCCTTCCATTACTTCCTTCTTTCTTTTTCCTTCTGGTGATTTGGGTGTCCCAGCCTTTAATACATTGGTATAAAAATCTCTTGCTTTCCATATTGTGTTAAGCCGATATCTCTCTCCCGAATAAGTCACCACTAGGCTGGCTGGCACCTCCCATCTATACTGTAATTGGTGTTTTTTCAATTCATCCACCAGAAAAGCATACCCCCTTCTGGCTCTCAAGATCTTGGGGGGGGGATTTCTTTCATTGTCATCACCTCCTGGCCTTCAACCTGAAGCTTATTTTTAAAAG